TAACTAACTATATATATATATATATATATATATATACGTAATTTTATACAATTTAGTATACGTAATTTTATTTACAAATGTAACGAATGACAATGAATGTTTCTCATAGATTTGTAATCACATTAATGTATTATATTCTTAATACCTAATGGACTTTTACAAGATATAATTTTTAATCATTTTGGATTGAATATCTTTCCATTTATACGATATATTATTTATATTATGTAAGTACAAATATAATGTTCACACACACATATTAACACATAATATTCAACTTATATTCTATACGTTGCATGACATATTAGTTTGCGTTTACGTATGAACGACATGGCATGTCACACGTAAAAGATCATCAAAGATTTTAACCCTGCAGGTATGCAATATAAGAGAAATACACGGGACAATGAGGTTTTCGAATCTCTATGGTTACTGAATAAGCACAACATATGTTACGTATTACGATGTGGTTCTTTTATGAACTTGAAATACCAACAGAAAGATGAGCATAAGTTCACACGCACATCGACACTTAAGAATAATGAACTTTGCTATATATAACGAATAGTGCTTTTTCTTATTATTATGCTTAGTTATAATTTTTTCTAATAATTATGTTATAAAAAGTTTTTTATTTTTTTATCTTTTAGAATATAGAATATCTACTATTTTTATATCATACATTTTTCATGTAAAAATAATTATATAAATAATTATAAAATGGAAAATTTATAAAATGTTAAACTAATAATTAAAAGATGTATTTTTTTCGGATTAATTCAATTTCTTTATTACCAAAATATCATTGTCCTAAATTATAATATCCTAACAATATGTTGACCTAGTGATATATGATTATATATATATATATATTTTTTTAAATAATATAGAAATAGACTTTAAATAGACTTTAAATAATAGTCTTTGTATCTAGCTTAGTAAAAAGTAATCAATAGGAAAACTGTCTGTTAACTGTACATTACTTTGACATTTTGCTGTAATTGTTATGTAATTTGTTTGATATACCTATTCACCTTTACAATTTTATAACAATAAAAGTAATGAAAGAAGTATATTTAGAGAATATATAAATATTACATTAATTATTGTTAAAATTTATTTTTTGTGCGATTAATAATCATGATTATAAATACTTTTTATTATATTATTATTTTTAATGTAAATGAGAATAAAATCTTTTTTTTATAATTTTCATTTAACAATTTTTTTTAATAAAGTTATTTATAATCTTATTTTTTTATAAGAATAATAAATGCAATTTATTGAATTTGTTATTGAATTTATTTTACATTTCTTGTACATTTCCTATAACTACGTTGGAAATTTTTGAATGAACATAGTAAATCAATTGCATATTTATTAACTTCATTAAAATTATTAATTTAAAAATAAAAAATTATACATAAAGAAACAAAATAAAATATTGAAAGAATTATTTAAAAAATAGAAAAATTAATGTTTTTATTTATATCACACATCTTATATTTTGACTTGCAGTATTTTATTTGATTAGAAATGTAGCGTCATTCGCCATATTTATTTTCGATCAAAAGACACCTGTCCTGTGAGTACCTTTTCCTTTTGATTAGTATTTAGTAGCGTCGTTTAACAATAATAAGAACGATATGTAATGTTGTCAACATTGTTAATGTAAATTAAGACGTGAATATAATATTGATAAAAAAATTAATTAATAATCAGAAACTTAAAGAATAATCTAAAAGATTATTCAAGTTATAAGAACATCATAGCATCAGGGGTGTGTCACAATGAAGACTCTTCATACTTTTTTCATATTGACCCTTTTATATACAGGTAAAAGATATTTATTTGTATATATTATTTTACGTATATAACATAAATATTATATTCTTAAATTTGTTCACTAGAAATTATTTAATCGATTGAAATATCAATAATCTTTATGTGAAACCTAATGTTTACAGAATATTTTTTTGTATATAACCAATATAATATAATTTGTGCAATTATGCAAGTTATGCATTGTCTGTTATATTTCTTTTTTTTTTTTTGGAATTAGTATAATGTAATTATTATTATTAATTAATATACAATATACAATATTGCTTGATATAATTAGAATAATGTTTTTAAACAGAAACATTATTGTATTTTTCAGTTAATAGTCAACGTACACCAACAATATCATATATTTCACAAGAGCAAATTAAAGATATTGGTGATACTGTTGAATTTCGTTGTTCAGTTCAATATGCTCCTGAATTTCCAGTTGTATGGACAAAAATTAATAAAAATATAGCTAATGATCAACTACCTCTTTCACATGGTAGCTCCTTAATTATAAGAGATACTAGATTTGCCCTTAGATATGATGATGCTTTATCTACCTTTATATTACAGGTAATTTAATATTAAGCTTAATACATATAATATTTTTAATAATTATAGCTGATTGTAAAATTTAAGTAATAATGTAATGCATATTTTAGATAAAAGATATACAAGAGACTGATGCTGGATTTTATCAATGCAAAATTTTAATATCTTTGAATAATTATGTATCTGCAAATGTGGAACTGCAAGTTCGTAGACCACCTATTATAAGTGATAATTCAACTAGGTCTTTAGTTGTTACTGAGGGACAACCAGTGCAACTTGAATGTTATGCTGGTGGTTTTCCCACACCTAGAATTTCATGGAGAAGAGAAAACAATGCAATTTTACCAACTGGAGGATCAATTTACCGGTAAATAATTATTTTTTGTTAATTTCTTTTATCTTTGTACTAATTTTTTTTAAACAAACCAAAATATTATAGTGGTAATACATTGAAAATTTCTACAATTCGTAAAGAAGATCGTGGAACATATTATTGTGTAGCTGAAAATGGAGTAGGACGTGGAGCTAGACGAAATATTAATGTAGAAGTTGAATTTGCACCTGTGATCACTGCACCTAGACCAAGACTTGGTCAAGCTTTACAATATGACATGGATTTAGAATGTCATGTAGAAGCTTATCCTCCACCAGCTATTGTTTGGTTGAAGGATGATATTCAACTATCGAATAATCAGCATTATAGCATATCACATTTTGCAACTGCAGATCAATATACAGATACAACAATTAGAGTGATCACAATTGAAAAAAGACAGTATGGAGAATATGTATGCAGAGCTGCTAATAAATTAGGAACTGCAGAAACGAAAGTTGAATTATTTGGTATGTACTTTAATGCGCGCACACATTCTCTTTTTCTCTTTGTTTATATATATATATTATTATAATTTATTATTATATATTATTATTATAATTTATAATAATAATAATTATTGAAAATAATTATATATATATAATATATATATATTTACATTTATTTATAAATTATAATAATTATTATATAATATATAATTTATATAATATATAAATTATATAATAATTATAATAATTATATATTATCTTTAATAAAGTATTAATTTCATTTTCCTAATTTTAATTATAGCTATATATAAAATTGTAGAATCCATAAATATGTATATATATGTTATAGATTGTGCATGTTAATGTAATAATAATATTTATCTATTTATTAATATTAATATCCCTATTTATTAATAAATTTTATTTATTTATTTTGCATAATAATTAATAATTTGATTTTCAGTGCATTTATTTATTGAGTTTAGTAGTTAGCATGTTTTAGATTTTCTTTTTTTTTTTTTTTGTCGCAGAAACTACTGTCCCTGTGTGTCCACCAGCATGTGGCCAAGCTCTTTATTATGGGACTGGAGTAACACAAGTTTCTTCAGGATCTTTGGTAGTCTTAGTTTTATTTATTACAATTATTCTAAGGTATGTTGTTTTTTGTTCTGCTTCTGTATAGAAATTTTTGCTGTTCCAGTATAATATAATATAATATAAATTCATTTTGTATTATTTATGAATGTAAATTTACAGAAATATCCACGCCAAATATTAATTATCCTGGACTTCAATGGGCGGCAGCAAGTCAATGCAACTTATCAAAATGGTTGCTGATAGTACTATGGTTCACTATTCTTAATACACATTAGAAATATTACTAATATCTTTAGGAGCCTAATTTGTTTTTAACTTTTATTAGATGATTATTTTTGTAGTTATTTACAAATGAAATTGAATCATTATTAGCGAATATAATACAAGTTTTAGGGGCCAACAATATAATAAATGTTGGCAAGGTACAAACTAACATTCCAGAAAAATATATAGTGATACATAGTGAAAAAAAAGTAATGATATTATTAATAGTTTAAAATTTATAGATTATATTAGTCCTTTTTCATATGTCAGTACAACTGATAAACACAAAGAAGTGATTGATAATAATGTTATGAATATATCAGCCTTTAACATAGTTTGTAGTAGGAATTCGAAAATATGTTCATACAATTTAACACATTCGAGATTAATATATTTTAATAAAACTTCTAATGAATAATTTTTTTATATTTATAATAATAATAATATAATAATATAAAAAAAATTAAATATTATGATATTGAGATAAAATATATTTCAAAATAAGATAAATAAGTAAGATTTATGATATTTTTTGAAAGAGTCATATATAAAGCTCTGCTATTTTCACATCATTGTAATAATTTTTATACAATTCTTTACTCGATCTAAGTCAATATATACTTTTTTTTTTCATTTTTTTTTTTTTTAATTACATTTAAATACATTTTTTTTTATCTATTTATATTTTATTTTATAATTGATCTTTCCAACTCAATAACTTTAAATGATAATTAGAAAATTTTTTAACTAAATGATATTATAGATCCTTGATCTTGGATGTGTTAAATACTTGTTAATGTCCTGTTTAGAGGAATTCGAAATAACAATACTCTATAGTTGCCTTGTTATATAATGTTTGGCAAAAAGAAAGAAAAATTAATATACATGTTACTGTATCTTGATCGTGATAAAGCATGTAAAATTTGTTCTAGAATTAGATGAAAGATTGTATATTGTAGATGAAATTATTTATAACAATTAATACCAGAATATTTTTTATTATGTTAACGAACGCATAAAAAGACCGCATACTCATAACAGGGATCATTTTTGGAACAAACTTAAAAGAATATTTGTAATGTCCTGTAGGCTGGAAAGACATATCGATACTTATATCGCGGCAAATTACTTTATACGTCCGGGACGTAATATGAAAGGTAACGAGAAATAACAAGAAATGTTATAAAATAGCTTCATTAAAAAAATTAATTTTTAATATTTTCGTTCATTAATAAAGAAACAATATTGAATAAATTTAATTATACAAATATTTGAATATAATAGGAAGTTTTTTTATTTCTAATTATGCGTTAAGAAAATAAATAATTTTGTAATTCTAATTGCACTATGTATACCATAATATTAATACAAATGAATGTTTCCTGTTTTTTCTCTTACCTTTCACATATAATAAGTGCTGAGAAACGTAGAATCTCGAATAAGTAAGATTTTTTATGACCTTTTTACGAGTTTGCAATTTTATATTTACTTCTAGGCTAATATGAATTTTAATAAACGAAAATTGCGTACAAAAATTTTTTTTTTACATTATTACCTGCTGCTTTATGTGTTACGAACAAAATAATGAAACATGTTTAACTATTGTTAAAAAATATTTATTTTATTATTTAATTTCATATTTAATTTTTCTTTTTACAATTTGAAAACTGCTTTACTGATTTCGCCTCGTTTCAGAGCTTCCAAAGCTTCACGATATTGTGACAACGAGAATACTTTAATACCTAATTTATCATAATTCAGATATCTATCAGCCATTGCACGTAATAAACCCAATCCTCTGGGGAATGAGAAAGGATTTATGTTTACACCTAATATCGTCAATTCCTTTAAATATACCTGTTGGAGAATAAAAGTTAAATTAGTAATTAATTTATGTCCGATTGATTACTTTAATGAGAAATGATTAAAAAACGAGTAAAAAAATGATGACTCAGATGCGTGGGAATGGAATGACACACAATTATGATTAATTTACCTGGAATGGTTCGACGCTGAATTTAGCTTTGGGATTGGCGACTCCGAATATACATAAACGACCACCTGGTGTTAATAAAGGAATGCTTGCTTCTATAGCGGGTGCGGAACCACTACAATCCACGACCACGTCATACGAATTCTTTAATTGTTCTGGACTCTTTGCCTCGAAATCCAGATCTAAAAAATATAATCATCGCAATTTTCTTTCGTTAATGATAATTTTTGTAATTCAATTAATTACTTAATTTAAAAAAAGCATCATTTATCGAAAAGAAATAATGCTAATCATGAAACATGAAATCAATTATCAATTACACATCAAATACATAATTCATACATTATACTCGTTCAGATATCCTTTTCATTATTGTGATGTTTAAAGCATATACTTATCAACCTTATTGAACAATTCAGAACAAAAACTTTTTATCTTCTTTTATTTTTTTCAATTCAACGTAATTCATTTACAATTAAAAATACTTAAAAAATACATAAGAATATTTAATGAGATTCATCCTTACCAAGTTTCGTCACCAGTTTCCGCCGTTTTTCCTGGGGCTCGCTGATCGTCACGGATTTCCTAAGCCCATGCAAATGTAACATACAAGCCCACAAAAGACCAATGATTCCGGCGCCAATTACGAGCACGTTGCTACCAACGTTGACGCTATTAAGTTTCTTCCATCCATGAGCCAAACACGACAGAGGCTCGACGAGGACGGCTTGATGTAATTCGACGTCATCTGGTACTAAATACACCTGAATTAAGAATTAAGAAAGAGAAAAGAAAAACACAGTTAACAAAGCTTACTACATACTTACAACCTGTGAAATTGATAGGAACGAACCTGACTTTCGGGTACGATAGCGTGAGTGGAGAATCCACCGTCTCTGTAAATCCCTATCGTGCTGTTTATGCCACCGGCGCTACAGTGCTGATAAGAACCATCGTGACAATAGTTGCACGTATTACACCCACTGTTAGGATCGACAGCCACTCTTTGCCCGACTTTGAAGTTCTTCACCGAGGAACCAACAGCGTCCACCGTGCCTGCGAATTCGTGGCCAAGAGTGAGAAAGCCATCCTTCTTGCATGGAAACGATCCCTGTGAAATACAATTTTTTTCATTAATTTTTTGTTTTTTAAAAAATTATTATACATAAAATATGAATGATTTTAAATTTTAGACAAATGGAATATACACGAATGAATGTAAGAATATCGAAATTAATTAATTTTCTTCGTTCATCTCTTTTTTTAATTTTCTTAAACATCTAGAATATTTTTCACTCGCGTCACGACTGATCATATTCGTCCGATACAACTATCAAATTATTCCATCTATTTCTTTTTATTTTTACCGAAAATATAAATACCTTCGGTCTTTTATTTTTATTTTGAACTTTTCCTTATCACGAAACGTTCCATTTTGTCGTGTCTCGGGCCGCTATCACGAGATTTATTTCGCATCGTTTGGAAAGGAGAAAAAAGAGCGGGAATTATTGTCATACACATGGTAATGTTCCAATCGGTATAATGTGATTACATGCACGGGAACGATAAAGCATACTATGCGCACGGTTGATATCATGTTTCGTGAATATTTATCAAAAAGCTTATATCACGCGGTCATAATGTCTATCTTTGGAAATACTCTTGTTGTGTTACAAGGAATTATGCAATTTTTTTGCGGTACGATCGCAACGGCGTAAAAGTCTCGTGAGGTCAGAACAATAAAAGGAGGAAGGGGAGGAGGAGGAGGAAGAGGAGGAGGAAAAAGAAAAAGAAATAAACGTAATGCTCACGCGAAAAAAGATATTTAATTATTCACCTTTTTCCACATACGATGCTGCATTTCGTTTTTACATGCAATTACAGATAGGAAAAATAAACGAAAAATTGCGATCGTATTTCAAAAGGAATAGAGGAAAGGAATACACGCGATCGTATGAAATTTCAAACAAGTAGATTGCGTTTGTTGTGAAATATTTAAACGTTGGTAGAACGAGATTATTTTGTATAAAATAAAATAAAAATACATGCTTTGTCCTTATCAGATATAAATGAAATTTCAATCTAAAGTTTAAATCAAAAAAAAAAAGGAAGTAAACTGAATTCTTTATTGTTAGTGAATAACAATAGTTAGTTCTAATTGTCCTTTGACAATATTTTTCTTTCCAATGTAAGAAATTCCTTCTTATCTTTATGTAACAATTTCCTGAATGGCGCCAATTTAAGACAATTTATATTTCCTTATCTTTCTTACTCATCTAATATCACAAATAGTACAAATGTCTGGTATTTTTCCTATTCTAAGAAGATTTTATACTATATTTTTTTAAAAAAGGACATTCATATTCAAACTTCATTTCTTACTTTGTATCATCTTGCTCAAAATGGAATGCACATTCCAGAGATCTCCACATTAATTAACATAAACGCAATTTTAATTAAATTTTAATTAAAGAAAAAGGAAATTTTCTCGTAAACGTTATCTTGCTTGCTGTACCGTTTTGAGGAAATTTCCCGGTTACTTGCTACTCTAAATATCCGGTCAACAATTTGAGAACCGTCGAACGAAACGCGATTAACGGATAAAGAAACCAAAACAATGACGACGTACTTCCAATATATGAAGGTCGGTCCCGCAGATGCCCGAATAAGCAACTCTGACTCGAACTTCGTTCGGTCCCGGATTCGGCACATCAGCCTTCCGCAACTCAAGAGTGTGATTCTTCACGTCGAAACTGAGGAATTCCATCTTCCCGCTCTGCTTATTCACGGATGGTAACTAACTCGACATCTCTATCTCCAACATTTATATATCTGTTTTGCCACGTGTTTATGTTTATATATTGGTGCCGTGTGCCGACACTTAATCGCCAAATACGCTGTGGCTTCAGTCGCGTGCACTGCAACATAACGACATAAGAAAAGAAGAAGAGGTTTGAAAAACGGTTTCGTTCGGAACGGATGATTGACTCGATTATTCCAGACGGAAGGAAACGTTTTTGAAAATTGAAAATAATAGAAGTTTAGTTAGTTTAATTTGAAATTTGTTTTTTCAAAGGAAACGAATCGATAAAGGATAGATTTTTTTGGGATATTTCGCTCCACACGGGTCAAAGAACTGTTTCGAGGAGATGATTAAAGATGAGATACGGGTAATCACAATTCGTTAATAAATAATTAAACAATGTCTCGCTACGTGAGAATATGTATAATTGTTTTATAACAAGGAAACTTGGTCGAACAGTGTAATAAAGAGACGGAAATTTATTAAGGTTGCACGTTTGAAATTCTGGATGGAAAAATTGCCTTTTCTTTCCTCGATCGATTAGAGATCTGTTTAACCCCGTTACGTTTCTCATTTATTTATACCGATTCTGCTTATCGAAATAGTTTTCCATTTTGCAGAGGAAAGAAGCTACGCACAATA